ACCATTTCAAAAATTTCTACATACACAGTTCAGTGACATTGACTATGCCCTTCCAATTGTGCTGCTATTCTCACTTAAGATGGAGGCTTCCAGAACAAAACAGTTTTTCATTTAACAGTTACTACACATGTTGCCCTATGACAATGGTTAACAATCTCACAACACATCGACAATATCCTTACTCAACCTTGGGTTCCCTTCCTTGTCTCCTTCTGCCTTCTGGATGGCCCCAACATTTTAACTGAGCTTGTACACTGCCGATGAGAGTACTGCTGTCACCGTATCACCTGCCTCAGAGAACAATATGGCGTTGTCTTGTGTAGCTCTCTTTCCCTCTTCTCTCTTGGTGAACTGTTACCTTAAAACCAGCTGGAATGTCACCACCTTGAACAAACCTATCTGCCCCAGTTTTTTTTTTTTTAGGACTCACATTTCATCTACTTAGGTACTTATCACATTACTTTGCCACAATTTCATTCCCTGCTTACACATCTCACTTGAGGAGAACAACTGCTTTACTAACCCATGTATTCCCTGTAGTGACTGGCACACAGTAGCCTTTCAATAAAGGTTTGTGAATCAAACATGAATAAGTAAAGGTCTGACACCAGCCGGCACTCCCAGGCCATCTTCGCCTCACACGGCATGTCAGTGGTTCTCAACCCCGGATGGTGCACCCAAATTTCCCGGGAGCTCTGTGACCGTGTACACGCAGTACAATGTCCTGAGATCCTGATTTAGTGGGTTTGGTGTAAGGCCTGGGCACCAGCAGTAAACAAGCTCCAAAGGTGATGTGTGGCCTACACTAAAAACCACTACACACATGGGCCTGAAGACATTCATAGCAGAGAAGTATTCCTTCATGTTCTAGCAAGGGCCTCCCAGCTCAGACCACAAACAAAGACATGACAAATTCACATCACAGTTGATAGGCTGACTCTAACCACAGTCCTTTCAAGAAAGTTACATTTCACTTTAGATTATCTGTAAACAAAGGGTAATATTTTACCGTTATCTTAGTTGTACCATGCTTGATAAAGTAGAGGGTCAGCAAAGAAGATAACCCTCAATGAGATGGATTGACACAGTGGCTGCAACAATGGGCTCAAACACAGCAACGAATGTGGGGCTGGCGCAGGATTGGGCAGTGTTTCGTCCTGTCGTATACAGGGTTGCTATGAATCGGAACCGACTCAATGGCATCTACAATAACAACTAGTTACTTTTATAAATTATCTACAGCTTAAAAGATTAAGTGCAGACCACCAAATGTTTAACTCTGACTTTCAAAATAACGATCATGTTGGACTTGGCGACACTTTTCTCGGTGACCCCCAACCCTTTCTTTAGTATTCTGTGTCCCAGGAAATGGCATTACCCTTCACCCCAGGGTGAATGCTCCAACCAAAACCTTGGAGCCGTCCTGGACTGCTCTTGCCATCTCCACCACCCAAACCATCAGTCAACTCTGGAAGCCCCACCTTCAACACAGGTTCTAAACTGACCACCAGCTCGCCCTCGCTGCCGTCATCTCCTATCTGCTCTACTCCTGGAGCCTCCTGAGTGGTTTCTCCACCAGCATTCTTGACATCCTGCATCCTATTCTCATAGAGGCAAGAGTGAGATTTACAAAACGTTTAAGTTCGTATCATTGCTCCACACGTTCTGAAGGTTTCCCATCTCACTCAAAGCAAAATTTCAAGTTCTTGTCATTGCTGACATGTCCTATGTGGTGCCCTCCTGTCCCCATCACTGACCTTATCTCTTACTACTCAATCCTTGCTCACTGTGCTCTAGCCACACTCATCCTCCAACAGGCCGGGAATGCTGCCCCGGGGCCTTTGGCTCACGGTTCTTTTATTAGAGATACTCCTGCCCAGATAGCAATGGCCTGCTTCTGCTCAAATGTCACCTTAGATCACCCTGCCCTGCCCCTCACGTTCTATCCTTTTAACTTAAATTTTTCTTCACTGTTCCCCACAAGACCTAACACACGTGTGGATGAGTGTGTGTTCATCAGTCTCCCAAACTAAAAAATAAGCTCTGTAATGGTGGGGACTTTGTGCATTTTGTTCTCTACTGAATCTCAGACACTAGAGAAGGGGGAGGGAAGAGAAGCAGAGAAAAGAGAAGCCTGCAGTAACACCTGATATCCACCAGATGGTGCTATAAAGCCAGTTAATTCTTTCTCTTTTTAACATAATTATCTCAAGCTAAGTAGAAATCACTAAGATTAGATCAGTCTGTTTTCTTCATCAAAATACTATTATTTCTAAAAGCAAAACTACAGAGACGGAAAACAGATCACAGATCAATGACTGCCAGGGCCTGGGGATGGTGGAAGGATGCTGACTGCAAAAGGGTCTGAGCAACTTTTTGTGGTGATGGGCCTGTTCTTTATCTTGATTGTGCCAGTGGTTCCAGACTATACACATCTGTCAACTCTGGTTGTTGCTGCTGCTGTTAGGTGCTGTCCAGTTGGTTCTGACTCACAGCAACCCCATGTGCAACAGAAGGGAACACTGCCTGGTCCTGCACCAACCTCACAATCGTTGCTATGTTGAGCCCACTGCTGCAGCCACTGTGTCAGTCCATCTCATTGAGGGTCTTCCTCTTTTTCACTGACCTTCTACTTTACCAAGTATGATGTCCTTCTCCAGGGACTAGTCCGTCCTGATAATCTGTCCAAAATATGTGAGACAAAGTCTCATCATCCTTCCAACGAATATTCTGGCTGTACTTCTTCCAAGACAGATGTGTTCATTCTTTTGACAGTGCGTGGTATATTCAATATTCTTTGCCAACATTGTAATTCAAAGGCATCAATTCTTCTTCGATCTTCCTTATTCGTTGTTCAGCTTTTGTGTGCATATGAGGGGACTGAAAATACCATGGCTTGGGTCAGGCGCACCTTAGTCCTCAAGGTGACATCTTTGCTTTTTAACATTTGAAAGAGATCTTTTGCAACAGATTTGCCCAATGCACTATGTTGTTTTATTTCTTGACTGCTTCTTCCATGGACGCTGATTGTGGATCCAAGTAAAATTAAATCCTTGACAACATCAATCTTTTCTCCATTTATCATGATGCTGCTTACTGGTCCAGTTGTGAGGATTTTTGTTTTCTTTATGTTGAGGTGTAATCTACACTGATGGCTGTAGTCAACTCTTACAATTGTACAATTAAAAAGCTGCATTTTATTATATGTAAGCAATAACGTCAAGAATCTGATTTTAAAAAAAGTCAGTTCAAATATAAGTCATTAGATGTTTAAAACAGCCTTTCACTTCATCAGCTTAAAGATTATGCAAACATTTACTCTTTGAGGAAAAAACTGTCTTTTATTATACAGTTGAACTTTTAGAAAATGGAAACCTTAGAAAAAAAATCATTTAAGAAAAAGAGCAAATATTAGTTTCAGCTAAATATGCCAGTTGTCTTTCAGAATTTCATCGGACCCAGAAACTTAAATGACATTTTATCAAGAGCACAGTCAGGCTAAAAACCACCTGCAGACTCATAGGCTCACCTCATTTTCATACTGGATTTCTAACATGGCCCGTGAGCTGCCAAGATCCTGCATCACAGACTCGGCTTGCTTCAGTAGCTCCTCTCTGTTCACAGTACGCTACAAAGAAAGTGAAAACGTGAGACACTACGCTCTTCTGGTGTTACGCATTATCAAACGGGTGGCATCTCTTGAAGTGCGACAAATCAATTGTTAAAAATTTATTAATTTAAGTATGTACTTCAGAAAAGGCTAAGGAGCAGCTGCATTGCTACAAACACCAACAGCAGCCTGGCAAACATGAAGGAAAGCTAGAGGTTAAGTGTAATTATTAACTTATCTCAAACCCACGGCAAGTTCAGAAATTCAAGTTGGAGAAGGACCTCTGTGACCTTGCCAACATCAATGCAGTTCAGGGCTGCAGCTTCAGGAAATCTCCCCAGGCCCAATTACAGTTAAGGTGATGGGAAACAGACATGGAGGGGCAGGTGAGACAGGCGATCTAGCAACGCACTGGCTCTTCCTTACTTGCTAAGATCCTACAAACACTGCTACAGCCACCTACTGACAAGAGATTGATGAGGATGATAAAGGTCCTGCCAGGTTTCCAAAAAAAGCCAAAGGCATTGTTTATGGAACCCTAATGAGGCAACGAGAAGACAGAAATAGCTTTATTTGTTTAAAGCACAATGTTTTTTTATCACTTTCCTCGTCATTACTAATGGCTCTTGTGGCACTTCTGGTGATGAAGGTTTTGAGAGGAGAGACTTGAATCAGAATCCTCAGCCAAGAAGTGAGGCAGACGACCAGAAAAACCTCTAAGTAAAAGGCAGTGCTGTGTCAGAAGGGGGGGGCCAGAGTCTTGGACGGAAGTGGCTTAGAGCCACAGATGTGGAGCCACAACTAGAAGTACAGAAAGACGTCAACAATGCTAGGGCTGACTGGTGCAGAGACCTGAAATACACCCAGATCTTGTTTCAGTCTCTTCTAACTGGAGTGATTTGCTAAGGGAATTAAGTGGATCTGAGTTATTCTACCTACTGTGTAAGGGATCGATTGTAAAAGGAAGGCTATGGTTTAAGTTCCTAATTCAGAAAGAAAAGGAAGCAGTAAGAGAAAACTAGACTTTTTCTTGAAACAAGAGCATTGACAACTAAACGAGAAACTGGAGAACTGCAGAAACTGTTGCAGAAACCTGGGGTGGGGGGTAATTTCTTATTGGAGGACAAAGAAGAATCACGGATAGTCCAGTTACAAGACAGTGACAGGAAAATGTGGTTACAACAGAGGATAGAAAAGATTAGCAAAGAGATGACTGTGACTAAGAGGTCTTTAAAACCAACAGGCAGACAGACCAACAGGTACATCCCATTTCTAGTTTTCTCATTATTTTGAAAAGTCAAGCTTAAGACTTATCTTTAAATATTTTGAGGGAGAAACTTACTTTTTTCCTATCCAATCTAGGTGCAACTCTGCTATCTTGAGAATCGGACTGGTTGATTTCTGGGTTGGTATCAAGTAATCTTTGCATTGCTCGGTCCCGATCAAATGCAGTTACGTAAAAAAGCATTTGCCGGGTGTCAAAAGGAAAGAAAAACGGGCTGTAAAAAGACGCAATATACATTTATTATCTGGATTAGAATCGGAAACCATTTAAAAACACACACACACCAAAACGTGTATCAGAAGCAATTTTTGATATGATACAGAATGCTAATTACCAATATAACCAAGAGAAGTTGTCTAGGCACATCTAAGGAATTTTCATCATTATATGAAATTTCTAAGTGATCAAATAATAATGCATTAGGTAGACTTCCACTGTAAAATCTGCAATTCAACCACTAAAATCCTACATCTAAATTAAGTCTCCTCCAGACAATCTTTAATTTACCTCAGGACCTTTAGGAAGCATAACATGTTGTTGTCATTAGCAGCAGTCAAGCTGGCCTCTAACTCATGGAGACCTGAATATACACAACAGAATGAAACACTGCCTGGTCCTCTGCCATCCTTGTGATGGCTGTAGATCAGTCTGTTGTGATCTACAGCATTTTCAGATTTCTGGAATAGATCACCAGGCTTTTCTTCCTAGTCTGGAAGATCTGCTGACACCTATTCAACATCACAGCAACATGCCAAGCCTCCGACAAGCGAGGTACTGGTTGTGCATGAGGTGCACTGGCTGGGAATGGAACCCACGTCTCCCGCGTGGAATGTGAGACTTCTACTACTGAACACCAATGCCTCTCGGAACATGACTGTTGCTGTGTGTCAAGTCGATTCCAACTCACAGTGACGCTACAGGACAGAGTAGAACTGTCCCCACAGGGTGTTTTTCTAGACTATAATCTCTATAGGAGAAGACTGCCAGGGCTTTTCTCCTGCAGAGCAGCTGGTAGGTTCAAATCACTGACCTTGAGTTGACAGCCAAGTGCTTAACTACTGTGCCACTAGGGCTCCTTATAACATGACTAGTGAGGGCTAAGTAAAAAAAAAAAGAATGCGGCCACCACTTCACTGAGATGCCAGTGCCTGTGCTGCAGACACACGAGGAATGGCTTTGCTGTTCATGATTTCCCTCCCAGCTGTGTCACATCCAAGTCAATCAGAACAGCCAAAAGGCTGCTACTGATTTCCAAAGAATGAACCCTACACCAAAATAGTCCTACTGCCTCTTGATGCATGATTTTGACAGTTCTTGACGCAGCACTGCCAAGAGAACTTCCAGGAATGATTTGAATGTTCTATAACTATTCCATCCCATGTGCAGTCATGTGAGGATGTGGCTAGTGTGACAGTAAAACTGGATTTTTTATTCTGTTTAATTTTAATTAATTTACATAGCCTCACATGGCTAGTGACCACTGTTTTTATTAATTAGCACAACTCTCAAGTTTCTGAGAATGTAGGCCTGGACCCAGACAGGCACAGGTAATGGACCATCTACACTTCTGGAATCCAGTTTTAGAGTGGGAGAAGATCAGATCCTTCTCAAATATCCTTGTGTACTTGCATATTCCATCGATGTACAAGCACATCATCAAGCAGATCTAGCTCCAGCCCCACGTGCCTAGTCTGTTGGGATGCTAACACTACACTATTAAGCAAGCGTTGATTAAATACAATGATACTACTAAACATCTGAATAGGTTCACTGAACACTATGCTTTTATAACAAAATACGTACAGACCAACACAATGATAGTACTCCCAAGGTCACCATTACAGAAGTGAGCATCTTACCAGGTTTTCCCGAGCTCAGTAAGCCACGTTGGGATGTTTCCTGTCATGATTACTAAAGGATCTTGAAGCTGCCTGTTTGCCTTTGCTGTCAATTTACTGTTAATAAATTCACTAGTTGGAATAATCTCCTTGCACATTGCATTCTGTAAAATGTTAAAAAAAATAATGTTATCTACGTGTAATACAACATTAAGATTCTACTTACTCTCTTCATCACCAGCTTTGTATGCAGAGCACCTTGATTTCATCTGCTGCTTTCTAGCCAATACATCATCTTCTCATTGATGCAGCCCAATCCAAACTTGTAAAATTTCTACAATATCTAAATGCCACCCCCACCCACCCACCCGCAGGCCACTGGCACTGGCTCATTCACTGATGTGGCAGCTGACATTTTATGCAAGGCCAACTCCTGCACTCTTCCTTACGTTACAAAAATATCAAGGCAGCATTCAACTTCCATGCAATTTTTTACTTGATACACAACTTAGACAAATGAACTTTTGTTAAATGTATCTAAAGAATTTTAACTATAATAAATCCACATTCAATTTTCACACTGTAGCTTAATTTAATCAATGTATAGCTCGGGTATGTTTTTACAAGTCTGCCTGCCAAGAGAACTAATCCAAGAATGTAAGCCAAGAAAAGAAGTGGGAGAGCTGTTCCCACTGATGAGCCCACTGTGTTTCACTGGGCGCAGATCCCTGGGCTCAGCTGAATCACTGTTTCTAGTGCCACACGAAATCCATCTATCACTGAACAGAGAAACCATGAGCTAACACGTTGTGAACAACAGACCACGGAAAACTTCATAAATAGGCACCGTTACTCACGTCATACAAGTAATACCAGTATCGACTGACAGCGTGTAAAACTCGTAAAAGGAGGATCACATCTAAAGACGGGTCTTCAAAGGTTATATTTTCAGGTGCTGTGGGTATGAGGTACACTTCTAAAGGATTTGATACTGACGGGCACACTCCATCTAGAGGGGAAAGGTGAGAGTAAGTTTTGATCCGAGTTAGAAAGGCTAAGCCAGTGGGGCCAGTGCCCTTTATCATCCCTAACGTCGTGATCAGACGTTGTCAGATTTCACGCTTGATATTTTATTAACAGGATACAGATAGCGTGGACATAGCTTTTTCCTTTTTAGCTCATATGCTTGTAAAAACATCCACGCGTACAAAACTTTCACTTTCCCTTCCCACTGATTAATTTGCATTTCTCCTTTGTATCAGAAACAATAGATAACAATAAAATGGCCAGAGCGGGGAATAAAGATAAAATGTTTAAATTTAATTCATTGTTAAGATCCAGCTTAAAACAGCCATGCAAGGTGGACAAATACTGTCAAAGTTATAAATCTGAGCTAAGAGATTTTAGTTATCTAACTCAAGGCTTAGGACTGGATAGGCTGCCATAGTTTTCAAGACGGATCTGCAATTCCTTTGTTCTTAGATTCCACTAAGTAACAGCGTTTTTAAAAAGTCTGAGGGATTGAAACAATTGCCATTTACTTTTACCAAGCAAAAGAATTAAAAACCACAGCACCATCACTTCACACATGAAAGGGCATTTTTTAACACCAACAACGTAACAATGACAATCACAAAATACAGCCGTTTAAATAGAATGAACTTAGCTTTATGAAAAAAAAAAATGCACCGATGCCCTTATTCTGTGGATGAGGAGAAAATTTCATCGTCTGATACCAGTCTTTGGAAATCACTGTGATAGGCAGTGGCTGCCATGGAATGATAATGTAATCTAACTCTAAGGCAGTACTACCATCCATTAAAAAAAAAGGCAGGGAGCAGGAGGCAGGAAAGGAGCAAAATTAGACTGAAAGTACTACAAAGGGAAATAAGCCCATTGGGAGGTGACTGCTCCATTCTACAGTCATTACACTACCTGGCATCACTTTTTATTCTTTCTGTAATTGTTATATTACACAATTATAATGAATGATAATAAAATTAAAGCCCAACTTTAAGTCTACTTTCAGCCCCTACCTGTAGTCTCTTCTACAGTGAATGCCTTCTACTAATGAAATTTGTTTCACTCTTCATGAAAACATGGAAGAACTGGAAAAAGATCATTTTCCCCAATTTTCTTTGAAAATTGGTTTTGTAGGTACTTGTTTTTCATTTTCTAGACATTAAAGTCAAAGGCTCAGTTTGTAGTAACTTCATTTTTATACATTACATTCGAAGATTTTACTGCCAGATATGGATCATTCCTTTAAAAACATAAAGACAGGAAGACTGCTGGCCCACAACGGTAATCTGTTTGCCTGTTCATGTAGCAACTTACCGTGCCAGAGCTCATCGTGCTTTTTTGCATTTCTAGGGGACGTTTTTGTTGGAGCTGTTTGGGCCCTTCCTCTTTTACCACCAACACAATCTTTATTACTTTCTTCATCCTCTCTCACAGGTTTGTACCTAATAGGAGAGAAAAGTACATAAACCATAAGTAGATTTGAAAACTGCAGATTATTCTACAAAGCCAAAACGCAAGCCACAGACACCAGTTATTAACAGAGCTCTGGGGTCTACCCTCTCTCGTCTTTGGTGCCTATCTGGAGAATTACCAATGGCACTGCTTCCTAGAATGCGCCACCTAAAGACCACCTTCCTAGAGGGGGCCACCTGAGCGACTCACTCCAGGGGCGGTTTTGGGAAGAAAGGCTCTCTTCAAATGTAAGTAGCAGACACTCACAAAACAATGCAGGAAACTGCATCCAAATACCTTCAACAGCTCAGAAACGCCAAGCTTATTACCTGTGGATCATCTTGTGGATGATATTTTTGTCTTAAACCTATGAACAGTATCAAAGTTCATCAAAAACCAAAAGAAATCATTTTCAGACTTGCCATATCGTATGTGTCTTCGTCCAAATCCCAGCTCTTCCCAGGGGATTGCTTTCATCATCCGTGGACTCTCTCTCATCTTCAGCCTGTATGCTGAACTGCCGGACTGCCTGATACACAGTCATGTTATACGGGAGCAAATGTTCTCCGATGTAGAACTGTAGCCTGTGTCTTACGTTTCCTGAATTCAAGAACTGAGCAGCCTGAATAAAGCGAAACAAAAGGCGTTTAAGCTACAGGCCCTGAACTTTATATATTACAACATGGTGGGAACAGCACCTTACCAGAGACTCGTCTATTTCCTCATCTGATCCATCATCATCGCTGTCTTCATCATCTTCTCTTACTCTGCCATAGCCTAAAGAGCCAAAACGGCTGTTAAAATCCTAGCAATTTTAGATAAAAGAAAAGCCTGGGTATACTGGTTAAACTAGCGTATTCTTACAAAAATGTAGACACATTACATTCTGATCCATGAAGCAGAAAGACATAAGAAAACTGTCAAACACAAAATGTCATTTCTACTATATCCCAAAAAGATAAATGAATTCATCACTCAAGCAAGCAGTCAAATCCTAGTAAGTTTAATACCTGTCTATGTGCTAGACAGGAAATAAATGAAAGCAGCACAAGTCCTTGCACTCCAGATTTAGCAGAAACAGCATTAACTGAGCAGGAAATACTGGAGCTGTGTGTGTGTGTATCTTAATATTAATTTCAACCCAAATACATAAATAAGAACACAAAGACTATACATGGAAAATACCTCTAACGACAAGATATCTCTCGATAGCTTGTACCAAAGCCAGAGGGTCAATCTTGACAGGCCCACCCTTCCACTGCTTCACATTTGCACAGTCTGGGTGTCTTTGTAGTTGGCATTTTAACTGATGTGTGTTGAAAAATTTTAAAGCTTGCGATCCTCTGTTGAGAGAAAAGCTCAAGATAATTTGTGAAAAAAAAGTTATTCTATTATTGCCACAATCAATATACATTAATTCAAATAAAAGCAAGCTAATATAAACAATACAAACTTAGCATTTTCTGAAGACGCAAAAGTATGCACTTACCAGTTACACAAATGGAAAGCCAGCAATTCAAGTTTTTTAGTAAAAGTTAACAATAAAAAAATGCAATAAATAAGAAACCAAGGATGGGTGTGTACGCATGCATATGAAAACACTAAGTCAACATTCAAGCACTGTCCCACCATGATTCCATGTGAGCAGAAACACCTCACCATGTAGATTTAATTGTTTTCTCTGGAACAAAGGTTCCTCAATCACTTGAGCATACTCACTACTCCAATAATTTGCCCTTTCCTACTAAATTCTACCTATTTAAAAACAAACAAAAATCTCTTTTTTGCTTTCAATGATTTCAGCTACAAAATTACTTCAAAAACTAAAATTTACTTTGTTACATACTCTTGACTGAAGCAGTTTAAACCTACAGCAGTCTAAATCTGGTAATGATATTTAATTGCTCATTTCTGAGAAGGTCTGTCTAGAGTCATATATAACCCACTGCCGTCAAGTTGATTCCAACTCATAGTAATCCTACAGGACAGAGCAGAACTTCCCCACAGAGTTTCCAAGGAGCAGCTGGTGGATTCAAACTGCCAACCTTTTTGGTTAGTAGCTGTAGCTCTTAACCACTGCCCCACCAGGGCTCCGCAAGTCATACATAGGTAAGCTTAAAACGTGGTTATCTAGAAGGTTCCACAAAGAACGCAAACGGGGGTATGGGAAAGAATACTCCATTATACTGACACACATATATAAACGTAAGTATTTTATATAAATTTAGACAAAAATGAAAACCTTCATAGTTTTCTCAAGCATAAGTGTAGCAGAAATGAAAATTTCCCCTTAATTCCTGAGATGTTCCAGAAAACAGGACTTCTAATAGGATAGTGTAATAAACAAAACTGAATACCACACTACACATTAAATTTCAAAGCTGGAAAAAAAAACCTAGTCAATACTATGATTCCTTTATCTGTTCACTAATGCATATAGTTTTAATTCAATCAAAAACTTAAATCTCTTAAAATACTTCAGATTTTGGTTCTTATTTTCTAGGCTTCTAGCCAAAATACTCCATGAAGCTTATAATGTTCCATAAAATACAACAATAAACTTTTACAATTAATTCTTTCAGTAGCATTTCACGCGTCCTGTAAAACTACTATATTATTGAAAACAATATAAGTTTTTATTAGAATAGTCTAACATCAAAATAAACGCTTGTTAAAAACCACGAGAGTACAAATTCAAATGTGTAATCCCATTATTGCACACAACTTTAAATAATCATTTTATTATCCATATCCACAGAATTCTTTTTTTTCTAATTAAAGAGAGAAACTTTTTTTTTTAATTGTTGTAGTTTAAATGAAGTTTACATTTCAAGTTAGTCTCCCATACAAATACATACATTGTTATGTGACCCTAATTGCTCACGCCGTACTGTGACAGCACACTCCTCCTTTCCACCCGATTCCCCATGTCCATTCAACCAGCGACTAACCCTCTCTGCCTTCCTATCTCATCTCCAGACAGAAGCTGCCCCTTTGGTCTTTTGTATCTACTTGAGCTAAGAGGCACATTCCTCACGAGTATCACTTTATGTCCCACAGTCCAGTTTAATCCCTGTCGGAAGAGTTGGCCTTGGAAATTGTTTTAGTTCTGGGCTGATAAGAGAATCCGGGGGCCATGCTTTCTGAGGTTCCTCCAGTCTCAGTCAGACCATTAAGTCTGGTCTTCCTGCTAGAATTTGAGTTCTAAACCCCACCTTTCTCCTGCTCCATCACGGACTCTCTGTTGTGTTCCCTGTCAGCGCGGTCAGTGGTAGCCGGGCACCATCTAGATCTTCTGGTCTCAGGCTGATGAAGTCTCTGGTTTATGTGGCCCTTTCTGTCTCTTGGGCTAATACTTCCCTTGTGTCTTTGGTGTTCTTCATTCTCCTGTACTCCAGGTGGTTGGGACCAATTGATGCATCTTAGATGGCCGCTTGCAAGCTT